CCCCCCCCCCCCCGTGAGTCTCCTAATGTTTAGTCACTATCACAAAATCGCTGTTCCTCATGACTTCACATTCTGGGCAAAGACCACTCTTTCCACTCTACTGCTAGTGACTAAGAAAAAGTGGTATGTATGGGAATTCCAGATGGAGAGTGCAGAAAGATGGCTCTCCATTTCTTCCAACATAAAAAACCGCAGCTTTTTCAACACAATTACTTGTTTAAATTGGACAGAATTACATTTTAAGGGAGCTTGTGATTGCTGTCATCGAACTGGAATGTATGTAGAGAAACTCATAGGTTGTGATTTGGCTAAATTCACTGCACATAAGAGGAGAGGACTCATCCCCTTCCCCTCCATGCTCAGTTCATTGACCTCCTACACACAGGGAGTCTAAAAAGGGAATTCTGCTGTCCCTGGACACTGCCCATGTGAATGTGGAACCTGATTTTCCAGCATCCCAAATCAGCTAGGGATCCCCCACAGACAGCTAAGCTCTCTCCCTCTTCAGAATCATAGCCCTGCATGTGTAAAATGACAATAGAGTGACTGGAACTAGAGCACTCTTACCAGCATGCGAGTTCACCCAAATCACAGTTGCATATCTACTTATAAATTAGCATGTGCAATATTATGCAAATCTTTTTATCCTCCTTTCAGTGATGATAGCCTCTTTTTTTGGTGATGTGTAAGTTGTTGGCCTACATCCCACTGGAAGAAAGTGGGGAGGCGATTTTCAATTCTTCTCTTTCTCTGTAGCTACCAGAAGCATGTCTTCCACTCTTTTAAAGATCACAGCCCTATGGAGAAGATGTGGGACCATAGAGGACTGGGAGTCGAGGGGGGGCATCAGTGAAGATCACCATTGCTGCAGTTCTGTCAGTGGGATCCCCACACTAGCAAACTCCATCCACAGGAGGCAGATTCCAGTCACATCCCTTTTCCATTGATTTTTCTGTCCGGTCCTTGGGGAGGGAGGCAGGTTTCGTATGCAGTCCATTTGGATTTGTGTAAATATGGGGTCATTCACGGGCCCGCCCGCCCTGGTCTCAGATGTTGTTAACAGTTACGTTGAGTCAGACTAGTTTTTGTGCAGCTTTCTCCTCGCCGCCTTTTTTCCTCTTGTCTATTCTTCATGTCTCTGTTACCATACAATGAGATCATGGAAAGGCTGCCAGACATTAAACTGGCAGTGAAGAAGAAAAGAATATCTTGTTTACTGTCATTTCTTCTGAACAAGCTCCAGCTGGTTGTCCTTGGCTTTTCTGTCGCCAAAGAAAAGTCAAATGTAAATGTGCATACTCGCATGCTGACACATACACATATTGTACTTTAGGCTTTAAAAAGAGAGAAAGGCTTAACCTCTCACACAAATACCATGCAATTATTGTTGCTAAGGTATAACTAGTTTTTTAAAAAGAAATATAAACTATAGAAACTGTGAGTAAAAGATGACATCTAACACAACTTGTATCTTGGAAAGTCTAATGGCCCAAAATACTGTTTGTGTAATGTCATGTGGAATAAGCTGATGATGTCATCAGCTTATGTCATTAGCCAGAAGCTAGAATGAAATTTTACAGTAGGGCTAGAAGAAAAGAGAATCTGATGTTTAGAAAAGCAACATCATTTATCTGACAAACTTCCACGATCTTGTACTTGAAAACGTGATATTGATCTCTGGGCAACCACCAAACTGCAATGCTCTGGAATGTTTTTTGTCCATGTTTCCCAAACTCCTGGTTCAACAGCTGTTACATCAGAGATGTCAGAGCAGGATTGGTGGCAAGTGATGAATCCTTTGCTGTTCTGTGGCGCTGCGGAGGAGGCTGGTATAAATTCTCCTTCCTAAAGTGTAAATCTGAGGAGGCTACAATTTTTTGAGAAACTGTTGGAAAGAATATTAAGAGTGTGGGGCTGTTATTCATTGATCAAGCAGAGGTAAAGCCAGAAATGTTGCTTTAGTTCTGATTTCATTCTGACTGGAAATGAATTTTGGTCTTCACAAGGCTCACCCATTCTTTGAGATGAGCACTGCAAGCTACCAGAATTAAAATCTAGCTCTGAACCCCATCAGCATCACTGAGTTCTCTATCTTTCTTTAGGTTGGTTGCTTATGAGATTTCTGTCCCTTAAATTCCCCAAAGGCTGGTACTTCTTCCAAGTCCTCAGCCCACTTGTGTGCTGACAGAATAGAGGGATCCTTTCCAGAAGCATTTGTTCCCTAAACCCCAGACAGTGATACTGGCCCTCAGACTTCTGTGCTCCTATCCCACTTCCATCCGGTTCCATTCTCCTAGGGAGAAAGAAACAAGGATGCCAGTAAAGCTCATGGTTTGGAGGTTGTAGTGGTGGCTGATTCGAAACCTGTTAAAAGGAGTTCGGCTTTTTCTTGTTCATTCAATTACGTCTACACCTTTAGGATCCTAAGGGCCAAGGGCCAAATCCAATATTTGTCACAGCTAGAACAGATCCACTAAAATTACTGGACGTTGTTTGTCTCAAGTAATGTAAATTCCGTTTATTTCAGTGATTCTGCTGTATTTGGGACTGATCCTCAATGTAGGCCCAAGTAATGAGTGTTCCCGGGCAGTGCATGTGAATAGATGCACATCCAATTAAATTTATCACTTTATGTGTTTCCTTAAAAATCTACTGATTAAATCAGTTCTGATGTAATTAGATTAAAGCTTTATTCCAGTGGATTTCCTGAAATGTGCTAGCGATATCTGTTGCAGCATCTGGTTAATGTTTTCATAAGAGAATATATATTTTTAGTTTATGCACTTTATTGCAATGTTAGTTAGCTGTAGGCTGAAGGACAGGATGTGCAACCTGCATTTGAAGGAGTGAGTGGATTGGTACTGCACTTGCTCATGTGCTCACATATGCATTCTTTTACCCAATACATGTGTACATGTTCACACGCACACACACTCAAATACAATCTGTTCCCTCCATATACACATACATTTATGCAAACACACACATTTTCTCCCATCCCATCTAAATGCACAGCTTTAAACCTCCCCTTGCTGTCTCCTGTGCTCTAGGGATAGCTGAGGAGTGGGAATTAAAATGAAGGCCATATGGTTGCCACTATGTAGCCACTGGTAGTGGTGGGGGAATAGTGATCTCAGAAGCCAGGGCACTTTGTCTCCTCCCCTCCAGCCCCACTGATCAGCTAGACTGGGATCCAGACAGATTCAGGGAACAACCAATGCTCACATGCAGATCCTTGTTCATTCTAGCACACTTCTTTTCTCCTACGTTTGTCCTCACGTTTGCAACTATTTTTAAAATATTGTTAATTTTTCTTTTAAATAATCAACTTCACTGTTGGTTTATTCTTGCTCCTTCCTTACCACTGAATCAGCTTAGGCCCTGGATGATTCAGTGTAGGCACTTAATTCTCTTTGATTTAGCCAGCAGAGTCTGAAGTTACTTGAATTTTCCCTTTGAGCCAATGCCAGCAACCTAATTGAAAAATGCTTGTTACTTCCTTAGGAGTTTGTGAAGAAACTGGAAGAAAAAAAGGCTGAGCTAACTAAAGCCACAGGTATGGGAGAGGCTATCCTGGCTATCTGCCACCCAGACTCCATCACGACCATTAAGCACTGGATAACAATCATCCGAGCAAGGTTTGAAGAGGTCAGTCCAACTCAAGGCTGTTTTCTGTGGTAACAATCAGTCTTTGGCAGTTTGGAGTATGCCTGGCAATTAGCAAGGCTGTCGGTCATGTTGCAAAGAAACAGTCCATCTGTTGAGAGCAAGATGTTTAGTATACCCATAATGTTGTCTACATTTGGCCAGTTTTTTCTCCTCTTTAGTAATGAGAAATAAGGAAAGGAAAGTAAAACGGTACCAGCGTCTTTTTACAGTCAAGGATGATAGATTTTTCTCCCTGCAAAGAGGCATTTGAATTGAGGGCAAGGGGAGTTCTAACAGTACACTATAATTTTACAACAAACATTTCTGTCACTACTAATTAACAGCCAATGGCCAAAATTCCTTTTGTATTGTATATTTATGCAGGTGTAACACAAGGAGTGTAATGTATTCTCGAAGGCTTTCATGGCTGGGATCTGATGATTGTTGTGGGTTTTTCAGGCTCTTTGGCTGTGTTCTGAAGGTTGTTTTTCCTAACGTTTCGCCAGTCTCTGTGGCTGGCATCTTCAGAGGACAGGAGTCAGAACTCTCTCTGTGCTCTGGACTCCTGTCCTCTGAAGATGCCGGCCACAGAGACTTGGCGAAATGTTAGGAAGAACAACTTTCAGAAAACGGCCAAAGAGCCCGAAAAACCCACAACAACCACAAAGATTATAACTTTGAACAGTGAATTCCCACAAGTTAAAGACGGAGTAGGCATTTCCTATCGCGCATCAAGTCACATGACTGATATGCACTAGGAAATGCCCACACAAACTTCTTTATTTATTTTTGATGTACAGAAATTCACTGTTGGCATAATTAGTAGGATTCCATCCAGTGTGTCAAATAATACCAGCTGACGTCTTTTGTTACCAATTTTTTCTTTGCCTAATACAAGAAAAAGGTCCACATAACAAATAATAGGCCTGCACCATATGTTAATGTGTAGGAGTATGACCGTACACAACTGTCTCTTAAAATGTTTTTTAAAATGAAGAAAAAGCCACACATCAGTATTTCAGAAAAGACACATATGCAGAAGGAAACTATGTGGAAGGAGATTGTATCTTTCCTGGAAACTATACAGGTATGATTTTACCATACCATAGTTTCAACAGTTTCTTTAAAATGTACCATTCCTGTCATCACTTCTTTTGATGAATCATCTGATTTTATCCAGTGCAGGTACATAGTTATAACGACTAATATCATAGTATGTTAACCAAAATGCTATCAGCACAATCGATACACCATTACTATAGTTATCTCCACTTTTCCTTTTGGGATGCAGAGAGTTTTTAGGTGGTACTCATCACGGCCAGCAATGAGGTCACTCATTTTTAATAAAGTAAAATGTGTTTGCAGGAGAAGGAACAATTAACTGATGGGGTAAATTATAATTTACTGCTTTTCTTTGCAAGGTGTTAGCCTGGGCAAAGCAACATCAACAGAGATTGGCAGGAGCCTTGGCTGCCCTTATTGCTAATCAGGAGCTGTTGGAAGCATTATTGTCCTGGCTACAGTGGGCAGAGACAACTCTCACGGAAAAGGATAAGGAGGTCATTCCTCAGGAGATTGACGATGTCAAAGCACTTATTGCTGAGCATCAGGTAAGAGAACCATGGACATCCCATGGCCCTGTGGCAGTCAGTTATCTTCATTGTATGGTTATTTTAGAGTTCAGGTAGAGCAGAAGCTTCTCAAATAATTAAATATCCTTACACTTGTTACATAATCAAACAAAAGCAGGTTTTTATACATGGCAGCTGAAATCCTGTTGCTTAGCATAGCAGGTTACACTAGAGTAGGCTCACTGAAACAGTAGGGATTTGGTTTACCTTTGTTTGACGTGTATGTAAAATTGCCTCTCCTGTTTCTGAGATCAGCCAGCCTCTACTCTTGTGCCCCAAAGGTTACTTGCATGATCTGAAGAGAACTTGTAGTCAATGTGGGTGATGCCAAGCACTGGCAACAGCCTGCTGGGATCATGGATGATAACAATGCTGAAATATAAAGTAGTACTGCCCAATGTAGGTCAGATGGTCAGATAATGGTCATGATGATGATTTCTCTTTCTCATCTGCGCTGTTTCTTGCTGATGAATAAGAAGAAGGATGGTGATGTAATGTTAAATATAAACTTTAAAGTACTGTACTGTTAATGTCTGTATAACTTTGTTGGTGATTGATTTCTCCTTCTCATGTACTGTTGTTGTTGCCTGTAAATGATTGTCCATTGCCTTGAGCTTTGTTTTTTGGAGTAGCTTTGAGAGTTCTATAGCATTTTATTTGGTCTTGCACCAGAAACATGAATAATGGAAAATGAAACAAAAGAACACAAAAGAGCATTTCCTTTTATGTTTAACAAAAAGACCAATACCCAAATGACCCAAAAACAAATGAAGCGTCTCCGGAAAGAATAGAAAACAAATGAACCCTGAAAGTTTTCCCGTACACATCCTTAACACTAGGTCAGCTGCAGCTAGCTGAGTTGGAAATGTCATAACACTATCTTTTTTTTCCTGCTCTGCCTTTCTAGTAGTATTGTGTCTGTTTCCTTGGTGGGAAAAATGTGGATCTGGAGCAACTCAGCCCTACCCTTTGTCTGCCTCTTTTTTGTCTCTTTCACCAGCAGGTTTTCACCACAGAGCAGTTCTGACAGCAGATTGCTCTGTCTCTGAGATCAGACAGCAGAAGAAAATTCTACTAGAAAAGTACATTTCTGCCAAAAGAAGGGCATTTCTGACAGCCATAGAGGCTTGTGCCTAAACCTTGTACAGCAGGACCCACATATTCATAGGGGATCGGTTCAACAACCTACTGTGGGTACCTGAAACCACGGATATAGCAACTCTGTATATGTATAACATACAAGGAGATGGGTCAAAGGCCACAAGGGAGTATTTTTATTAAATCAGAGAAAAGTGAAGTTGGAAGGGGCTTACAAGGCCATCACATCCAACCCCTTGCTCAGTGCAGGAATACTATCAAAGCATATCTGCCAGGTGATTAAGTTTTTATTGAATGCCTCCAGTGTTGGAGCACCCACCAACTCCTGAGGTAACTGGTTCCACTGTCATATTACTCTAACAGTTAGGACGTTTTTGCTGATATTCAACCAAAATCTGGCTTCCTTTAACTTGAGCCCATTGCTGCATGTCCTGCACTCTGGGATAATCGAGAACAGATCTTGTCCCTCCTCTGTATGACAGCCTTTCAATTTATTTGCGAAGGCTTTCACAGCCAGGATCTAATGGTTGTTGTGGGTTTTTCGGCCTCTTTGGCCGTGTTCTGAAGGTTGTTCTTCCTAACGTTTCGCCAGTCTCTGTGGCCGGCATCTTCAGAGAACAGCGCTCTGTGCTCTGGTGTAGTTGGCTTGGGAGTGCCAGTATTTATGGCTGTGAGACAGGCTTTTGTCTTATTCAGGAGATGGGTGATTAGTGTTTCTTGTTGTGAGTGTATTGTTGTGATAAGGACTCAGAAGTCAGCATTTGCTGTTAGTAGATGCCAAGTCAGGAGGGCCTGGCGTGCTCTGTCACAAAGAGTCGGACACGACTTAAGGACTAAAACAATAACTACAACAAGATGCCAAGTCATGTATCTCAGCAGGCAACAGCAAAGCCTACACTAATTTGTTAATTTGTGGCAATCTGTTACTAGGATTTACATTGATGGCATTTGGATGGTGTAAAAATGTAACAAGATTTCAGCCCTTGTATTCTCTGAGAAGAGATTAATATTGTTTTTGAGGAAAAAATTCACATTGCCATGCTCGACTGGCGACATCCAAGGAGTGCATGGATCAGGAAGTGTCTGGCTGCATTATCGGCTTGATTGATGTGTTTATGGTAGGCAAGATGAGCATGCAGTTTTTCAGGCTTTATAAAGAATATGCTGTGTCCCACAGAGATGTTACTGTAAACTGTAGGGAAAAAATAGTATGTGAAGCAGAGGCTCTTGCTGCAAATGAGAGATTTCACAGGTCTCTTTCATTATTTCCATCAGTATGTTGCAAACCATTATGTGTGCTGTTAGTCAAAGCAATCCCCATTTAATTTCAGACATTCATGGAGGAAATGACTAGAAAGCAGCCTGATGTGGATAAGGTTACTAAGACACATAAAAGAAAAGCAGCTGAAACAGGTCCAATCCAGTCTCATATTCCTGTGCTTGATAAAGGTAGAGGAGGAAGTAAGTAACAAAGGGAAATGGGGGGCATCACATATAGAGTAGTCATTAATTGTTTGTAAAATGTTCATATATGGTCCGGTCCATTTTGTTTTAATTATTTTTCCCCCAATAATTTCATAGAACTGAATGATCTCTTCAGCAAATTAGCATATATATCTTCTGTTATCTTAATTTTTTTAGAAAATTCTTTGAAAAATGAAAACATTAATTCCTTTTCCTGTATCATAACAGGAAAGCGTTCCCCGACACCAAGCATATATCCTTCAGGCTCTCAGGCCCAAATTGAAACCAAGAACCCACGGGTAAACCTCTTAGTCAGTAAATGGCAGCAAGTCTGGCTTTTGGCGCTGGAAAGAAGAAGGAAACTTAACGATGCTTTAGACCGATTAGAGGAGGTCAGTAAACAACAGTCAATATACTGTATGTCACTGTACTGTATTTTGAATCACTAAGCCCAGGTCTAGTATTAATGGCAGCGACACTTTGCAGAGTAGCAGCAGACCAGTGGATTAATACATTTGCCCTTCACCATGCAAATGGTGCATGTCATTGCTGAATCATGTGGCAGGCCTGTTCATGCAGTTCTGACCCACATTTTTCAGGAGAGAAAAATCTGCAGACAGATGTCAGCACATTTCACCCTCTGTGTGATGGAGGAATGCAGCAACCTTCCTACTCCTATACCACACAAAGAGAGGCATAGTCACCAATAACATGTATATTGGGAAAATGTGTCTATGCTTATCTTATGTGTATAGCATATGTTGTGCACGTAAGAAGAAATACTGTGATTCATCCCTAAAAAAATTCTGTCTACTGGGATTTATGTTTTTGTATCAAATAGTTTTGAAACATTTTATAAAATCAGATTGGGGAATATCCAAACTGTGGAACACTTCATGGATTGCTTCATATATTCAGTCCCCCTGCCATTGTGAGGCTTCTCATAGTTCTATTTATTAAGTCATGTCATGAGAATCTCCATGTGGCTTATTTTCATCATGCAGAACCATCCCACAATGTTTGTATAGTGGATTTGCAGTTGAGTAGCTGAAATCTGCCTAAACTGCATGCAAACCACTGTTACAAATAGTTTATTGCAGGTTCTTCTAGATGAAAGCCTGTTGTGCAGCCACACAAAAGGGGGAAATTTTAGAGGTGAATTGCTGTAAGTAGGCATTATCAGATGCACACCAAATTGCACAACTCTGTGTGCAACTGGTAATGCTGCAGTGATTTCTTACAGTTCACCACTAAAAGTTTTGCATGACTCTGCAACAAGATTTTGGCCTTAATCTCCCTAACTGCATTCCTTCTATGAACTTTCCAAATGCAACAGGCTTCAATGGAGAACTAAAGATTGTGTCATTAGTTTACAAAATGGCAACTAAACCCTGGGTGTAAGTTCTTTCCCCATTTCCTGGATTTTTCAGGGCAACCTCCCCCACCATCCGTTATTAGTATTAGTCCTGGTTTAGAGTTATTTGTGTCCATAGAGCAAGCATAATCAATGTTAAGTCTCTTCTTAAGGGTTTGCAAGCCTACATCAAATCCTGGCTTAAGTGGAAGCTATGATTAATGCAAGTATGGCTGAATTCTTGAGAGATAAAGTGAGAAACCATGGTTGACTTGGATAGGAAGGGGTGCAGTTGCCTCAGGAAGAGTAGGTGTTAAAGTTGCCCTGAAAATGAGGTGGAAGATTGCTCTGCTTTCCATTTTCCACCAGAGTTTGCAGGAAACCCACATTAACGTTGTCCCTGAGCCTTAGCATTATGATTGGGTGGAATCCCGAGCCGGTTCAGCTCCTAAATAATGTTTTTTTTGTCATTTTTTTTTCAAGCTGAGGGAATTTGCCAACTTTGATTTTGATATTTGGCGGAAAAAGTATATGCGCTGGATGAACCATAAGAAATCTCGAGTAATGGACTTCTTTAGGAGGATAGATAAAGATCAAGATGGAAAGATAACGAGGCAGGAGTTTATTGATGGGATTCTTTCTTCAAGTAAGTTTTAGAATGTGTAATTCTGCACACCTAAAATTTAACTCTGTGCAAATGCTTCCATCTTTTAACTGTCCTCAGAATGTCAGTTTGCTGGTTTTAAAAAAAAGAGTTGGAACCTGATAGTGCTCTTCAAATACTGAACAGTTCTCAAATGTGAAAAGGCAAAGACTTGATCTCTGCTTCTTGAGAGGCCAGGACTGGTTCTGTTGGCCTCACCGTAAAGGATAGATTTAATTTGTGCATGAGGAGAAATTGATTGAGAGCAAGAGCAGTTCAGCGATGGGAGGATCTCCCCTCACTGGAGTTCTTTCAGGCACCCCTCTGTTTGTGATGTTCCTCCTCTGAATTCCTTGCATCAGTCAAGATGCTGAACAAGCTAGCATATGAGGCTCCCTCCGACTTTACCATTCTGTCATTATAATAAACATCATGTGCTCTCTAGAAGGCCATTCTGGAATATCTGTAATCCTGATATGTGTTTTTTGTTGTTTACTTTTTTAATGTATAGAGTTTCCTACTAGTCGATTGGAAATGAGTGCAGTAGCAGATATATTTGACAGAGATGGTGATGGATATATTGACTATTACGAGTTTGTAGCAGCACTTCATCCAAATAAGGATGCATATAAGCCTCTGACAGATGCAGATAAAATTGAAGATGAGGTATTCTTCCCTGCCTTTTGCTATAACTTATCTTTTCTGAAATTGCATGCTGTCATCTGTCCTCTTGTTTGATTCCATAATTTGTCAATTATGCAAATATAATATTATTTTTCTGATTGTCCTTTTTAACAGGTAACAAGGCAAGTAGCAAAATGTAAATGTGCAAAGCGATTCCAGGTGGAGCAGATTGGTGATAACAAGTATAGAGTAAGTCCAGAAAACATATTCATATGGTCTGTTCATTTAAACTCAAGTATTCTTAAAAGGACAGGAACATCTGAACTTTTGAGTAAAATTACTGTAAAGAGTTTAATTTTATGCATTTTCTCAAGACTCTGAAGACAGCATGATTGCAGGTCCTACTGCATGTTTGGTCAGTCTTACATGAACGTTAGGATATTAGATTTTAAAAGATGGGATTATTACGGTGCTGAAGTTACAAATACAGCTTTAATTGGAATGAGGTTGTCAGTATCTCCAAAAGTATTTTTCTCGTGATGGAAAATTCTAAATAATTCATGATAGAGCTTGATTTTAAAGGCCAGATACCAATCCAAGTGTACCCTGATATGTTGAGAACACCTTCTGGAATTTGTATTGTGCCATTCGTTAACTTTTTAATTATGATTTTCCCCCTACTGCAACAGTTGGGAGTGCATTATACTTCCAGAATAGCTTAATAAAATACAGTATATTACATCATTACCATCCTGTCTTTTTATTTTCTTTAGAAGCAGATCTTTTCTTTTTCTAGACAGGAAACTGTTCTCTCTCTCCGCCCCATCTTTTAAAGCAAACAACAAAAGATATCAAGAGAAACCTGTCAAACTGCAGAAGAGAGCCAGTGTTTTATTTTGGTTCAGTAATACTGCTATGGTTGTGTATTTGGACAAGGAAGGTGGTGTAGCAATACAATAAATAGGGAAGATAGGTCTCTGTCTATAGTCACAGCCCAGTTATCTAACAGTACCTGTACCACTCTAAACTACGTACTGTATTGTGTTTAGAGATTCGGAATATATGTGTGCTTTTAGTGTGTGTTCTAGAGTTATGTGGAGGATTTCCTGTCACACTAATTATGTCTTTTTCCCATTTTCCATCTCTTGTCAGTTCTTCCTGGGAAATCAGGTATAAACAGTGGAATGTGTTATGGAGTTCCTAGTATTCTTTTAATACATCATTATTTCAGCTTGCAGTGGCTTGTTCTTCCCCCTTCCTTTCACCTTGAGCTAATTCATTGTTGATCCGCTGTGGTGCTCTCTGGAAATGCTTAGCAGGTTTCCTTGTTGTGGAAATTGCCTCTTTGCCTGTTGCTGCCTCATTAATGAGATTACTTTTAAGGGAACCAGATAATAGTCTGCAAGGACTGCCAGTGCAAATGCCTTAGGCAATCTTGCTGTACTTCACCCACAAGAATTTCTGTGAAGATTGTACTGTTATACTGTTCAGAGGATCTTTCTGATTTTCATGCTGCATATGACTGTCAAATAGTCTTGTCCTCATGCCATTTTTAAACCTTTGGAAAACAGCCAAGACATTTCAGGTGGAAACTGAATATGCAACCTGCATTTCCCTAAAATCCATCACTCTGCAAATGGACACCCCTGCTTTCCTATTATTCGGTTCCTAAAAGTAATATGTCTTTCCAACTTTGCTTAAGCAGTACCTTGATAAAGGTATATTTGCAAATTAAGTTCAGTTTTGTGATTTGGCTGTAAAAATATTCACTGGATAAATAGTTCTTTCTAAGGATACAATTCTTTATTTTAATCTAGATATATCTCTTAGGGTAATTTGTTCCGTATTTATACACATGAAGATTCAGCCCTTACATACCAAAGTAATGTGAGAGAGGAGATCCTGAATCAGTCTGATTAATTTTTGTTGTCGATTATGAGCTCCTACTATATGACTGCAAATAACTGGATCTGTACAGGAGATTTTGATGGGCTGAATTAATAACATGAGAGAGTTCCTCTGCAGTGACAGAAATTACAGTTGCCTTTGGGACTGTAATTTTAAATTCCACAGTGCAGGAAAAGATGAAGCCAACCATGGCTTCTCCCACCCTCTCTACCTTCATATTGTTTCTTGTCCTCTTTACCACTTCTTTAACGATCAGGGCTGCAGACAGACTGCACAGCAGGTCATAAAGGGAATGGTATTGTTAACAGAAGAGATAAGAGTTTAAAAGTATGGTGCAAATAGCTAGATCATTGTCTGGGAGCTTGGTTTTGATTCACATCACCTTCCATGGAAAGTCTATGTTCTCCACTAATAAAAGCAATTGGGAAATCCTAGAGCCATTTCATTTTTTTTGTTTTTCTTTGTGTATTTTCCCTTTTTTCCTTTGAGGGGGCACAGAGATCTATGTCAGAAAAAGTAGATCTATAGTACACATATGTAGAGCAACATGGAAATTCATGAACAGAAAGTGCACAGGTCCTTTTACCCATTGAGTATTTCCTCCTCTAGCATCTACCATCTTCATTTTTTTAGCATATGATAATAAGTCTCATTGGATCCAAATCAGGACATTTTAATTATTACAATAGTAGAACAGTCCAGGATTTTAAACCAAGATGTGAATTTGCATTAAGACCCTAGCTTGCTCCAAAAGTATTTACTACAATTTACTAGTTTGGACATCATGGAAAATTATAGTTAATTTCAGACTTATACAGTTAACTGCAGCAAACCAAAGAGGGAAATCACTGTAAACAATGGAATGGGGCTTGTTCATGTCTTCAGTCATTAAGCAAATACATGCATTAAGTTAAATGCATTGTTGTAAGTATTAATGGGTGGGTTCAGAAAAGTAGGCTTTCAGCCAGTTGCACCAGCCTAAAAGTTAAATCCCAGTGGTTCAGAGACTGATGATCTATATGGCGTGTATGAGGCAGCAGGGTCAATGAGTGCTCAGATCACCAGCAAGTTTTGCAAAGGCCTCTGGACATCAGCTGTTTGTTTTCATGCTTACACAGTTGAACTTATCTGCATGCATGTTTTAAATTGACATTAAGCTTAGTATATATGCTTACATGTGCACTGCAGCACTTTTCAAAGAATGCTGATACAGGGCTATTTGACAAGATCGTGGCCACACACCCTGCTTAGTTGCTGTATGACACATCTAGTGCTCTAAAACCTAAGTCAGTCATCAACCCACAGTTGAGGGAAGAAGACGATGTTGACTTTCCTGGAAGTAATAATGGTCGGCAATGCATGTTCTGTTGGCACAGTCTTGCTGATGCTTTTAGAATGCACACATCACAAACCCAAAACCACACAGGTAATATGAGAAACCTAAAAGATATTTAAGGTTTACAAAGCAGTAATTATGTGCTTTGAGGTGTGTTAGCAAGACTTCTTAGGGATGCCAGGTTCTTCTCCCATCATGTATATATGATCATGTAATAGAATTTGCTGGTTTGACATTCATACTGTACAGCACCAGTAGCACAACCAATTGTTCACATATCATAGACATTACAGAGGTAACTCTGAAATATAAACATAAACTCTAGTACTGGAGAGCAAGAAGCTATGGACTTCAAAAGATTCACAAAACTGCAAGATATTACATCAGTATCTACAAGACAGCTTTGCTGATGCTGGCCATTTTTATGTTTATTATTTAAATGTATATGAATGCTCACATGCTGATTTAGTATAAAGAGGCTCAGCCAACATCTAAAATTAATTACATTTAAAAATTGAATCTTAAGCTAAACATACTGTATGCCCAGATCAAAGGTTAAACATACTCAGATCCATTGGCATAAATGGGACATTATTTATTCATGATTGTTCTGTTGATTTCAGTGGATATGCTCTAATAATGATGAATATCTTGCTCCAACTCCATTAAAAACAACTAGTAAAAACAGTGTGGGCCTGGGATAGCGTGTAATATTGTTAAAATGTCAGTAATATTGGTTAATGCAAGCTGATTGGTAGTAGTATTTCAGTTGCATCATGTGGAAGTAAATCCCATAACAGCACATCTGATATCCTCAGCTTTAGAGTTATACATTATAAACCATTCATTTAGAGCAGCATTTAGTGACTACCCAAAGGGCATCTTTCCAGAAAGCAAGAATTGAAAAGGCTTCTGATATAACTCTGTAGTAGTATACATGATAGTATAGGGATATATCCATTGTGGTTTAATGGATAGAATAATAGCCTGGGATTAAGGAGGCCTGGATTCAAATTCCTGTTCAGCCATGGAAACTCACTGGGGGGAGTGGAACTGGTAAAATCACTCCTTAAATATCTCACCTACCTTGAAAGCTGCATTAGGGTCACTAAGTCAGTTCTGATTCAATAGCACATAATAACAGCAATATAGAAGAGACTCTTTTTCTGCCCTATTAGATAGAGTTAGAAAAGTTCAGTTTTTTCTACTTTTTGTAATAACTTCTAATTTATTGGTTTTTAGAAGATTTCTTGTTATCATCTCCACAGGGATAGATCTGTGAATAATTGATTGTTGAAGAAAAACATCTACTGATACATAACTTCATGTGTTATTACTAAATTACCTGCTTTGAAACAATATGAAAAATAATCATGTAACTCACAACAATTGAGCATACCGTTCTAGTAGCATACAGCATACCTTGCAGCATACCTTATTTTTCTCTGCTCTCCTTGCCCCTTTGCTACTCCGATTGCTACCTTTTGAGTCAATGCAATTACATTCAACTTGAAATACAATCTTGACCACATGCATAATGAAACTTCTTTAATGATTTTTCCACTAATGATTTAGGATCATACTGTTTGGCTAGCACACATTGCCATATAGAACTTGAAGGAAACTTGAGCATATTTTCTTATTGTCTTGCATAGTTTGGTGATTCCCAGCAACTCCGTCTTGTCCGTATTCTGAGAAGTACTGTAATGGTTCGAGTTGGAGGTGGATGGATGGCATTAGATGAGTTCCTAGTGAAAAATGATCCCTGCAGAGGTATGAGAATATCTTTAGAAATGAAGAAATTAACAATGAGCTTATTAATAATATATACTGTGTTTTCCTGAAAATAAGGCCTAACCTGAAAATTACGCCCTAGTATGATTTTTCAGGATGCTCGTAATATAAGCCCTACCCCCAAAATAAGCCCTAGTTAAGTGAAACCCCGCCCTCCACCATTGTGCAGCAACCAGAAGATGACATGACTGTAAAATAAAACATCCCCTAAAAATAAGCCCTACTGCGTTTTTGGAGCAAAAATTAATATAACCCTGTCTTGTTTTCGGGAAAACATGGTATGGCTGTTGTCATAATGGGATGGAATAAGGTGGGAGAGTGAATTGTAAGCTGTATAACATTGTTTAAACATTGATTCATGTAGTGTTTTCTTTATATTCATCTTAGGGTTTTTAAGGATTCTGCATTTGGAGAAATAGTAAACCCCGGCTATGTTTTACATTCACTGCATGACATTAGACCTGTTTCAGGATTCCGCTGGTTTTCTCACCTATATGCTGAGAAAGCTGGAAGAGACAGAAACCACACATTCAGGAAAACTGCTGGTTGTCTTTCTCTTTCCACTGCTTATCTCCATTTTCTGAGTTCTCGGTAGCTAATTTGCCCTGGGAGTTGGGTGGTAAAGAGGAGCCACACTCCTTGCCCCTTTGCCACCCAACTCTCAAGACAAATTATGAGTATAAGAGTGAAATGACACAGAGGAAAGGGCCTCGAATTCTGGTGTAGCTCCACCAGTAATTCGAATTCAGTGATTGCTTTGGGACAGTAGCTGCAAGAACAGACATTTTAGTTCAGGTCCTTTAGACGTCAACGCTCTGCTTGAAACATAATATATGTTTATATACATATGTGCAGTAGCCTAAAATTATACAGCATGGGATCACCAAGAAGTAAGATGAAACAGTCCGTTTGATAGGCAAACACCAGAGTGCATTCCATTTCCCCACCATGTTCTTTATCTTTGTCTGTGAAACAAACCAGCAGGAGAAGAGTGTCATTTTGATTCTTCACATCAGATGCAGAAAGTGCTTAAACCTGAAATTGGAAGAATTTTTATTTAAGTTTTCAGTGTCTGATTTCAAAACTGTTGATGCATGGGCTCTGTATCACTAGTGGAAGATAAGAAGGGAAGCTAACAGGCAAACTCTTTCTCCTCTGTTTAAGGAGGCTGGATAACTCAGTGAGGTCAGAAGTTCAATTCCCCACTGTGCCTTTCAGGAGAAGAGTTAGCCTGTGTAATCTTGGGAAAGCTGCCTAATCACATACATTTTAAAATGCATGTGGATCTGTTGGTATTTTGGAAAATGACATGGAAAAACATACAGATATATAACTGCACAGAAAAAATAATAATAATTTGCAAACCAGTGTGGAAATATGGAAGAATGTTTTTGTATGCATATGGTAAGTTTGCATTGACACATAAACTGAACAGGTAAAAGAGGGCCTTGAATCCCCACTTGGACTTCTGACATGGGATACCCTGCTTTTGGCTAGCGTGGCTTTCTTTTGTCAGTACAACATATTCTGTTGTGCCTGTGTTTGGGCTGCAGACTTCAGACATCTACATGGAACATGAAAATACTCTTCCTCAGTTCTGTTCCAAACAGTGGTTAGTCCAGAGCAGGGGTCTCAAACTCAAATTACCTGGGGGCCGCTGGAGGCAGAGTCTGAGTGAGGCCGGGTCACATCAGATTTTTTTTTAAAAAAAAAACCCTCACAGAATCGCTTTGCCAAAGGAGAAAAGCCCCCAGGCATGCACACATGCACAAAAACAGACACACACACACAGAAGTCTGTCAACCTTCCTATGAGGGCCCCCCTCAAAAAAAGGCACACTTAGCAGCAGCAGCTACCCCCACCATGACAGAGGAGCAAACTTTGCCAGGCGAGCCCAGGCAGCCTCCAGAACCGAGGTGGCTGAAGCAGGATGAAGAGGGGGAGGAGGAGGAAGCACTGCTGGGCTGGTGCTGGGGGTGCCGAGAGAGAAAGAGAGCCAGAGAGCTGCTTCCCTGGAAGAGGCGGCAGCGGTGGCAGATGCTGTTGGCAGTTCTCTTCAAGGATGGGCTGGGAGTGAGCTCCGCTGTCAGGCATCACTTGCCGGCTCTCCCCCAAGACAGTGCCTCTTGCACCTTCCATTTGGAACTGCAGCCTGCTAGCCAGCCTGCCTGTCTGCCGGCTGGCAGGGTGCAGTTCCGGATGGAGGGTGCAAGAGGCGCTGTCTTGGGGAGAGCCAGTGAGCGAGGCGAGGCTTTTTTGACTCTTGACAGCAGAGGACGTGTGGGTGCTTTGGGGGGGGGGAGGCAAATTGGGGGCAACAACTATCATCTGGCTGGCCACATGTTTGAGACCCCTGGTCCAGAGAGACTGAACACCCCTAGCATCAGTGGGGGTTTCTTCCTGTTGCCTATTTGGCAATCCTAACTCATCTGAACCAGAGGTTGGAGTGTTTCCAATAAAACTCTGGTTTCTGAGTCCTTTTGTGCACCTCTCGTCTAGTTAAACATAGTCTGACTTCTGAACAGGGTGCTGCAAATTCACACCTAAAGGTCTGTATCATGGTGCTATAATGGATTTTTAGAACTTTATGTGTACTTCTCAATTGATCATACTAATCCCAGTTTTTCCAACCACAATTTTATTAGATACAATTCAAAAAACAAGTAGAATTCTAGCTGTGCGCTGAAGTTATAGAAACAGGTATTGACGGTGGTGTTGAGAAGATGACTAAATTCTGTGCTTCTGCTGAAAAAATCTGCTCTAGTTCCATTTTATGTGCATAATATTTGAATTTATATTTTAAATTCATGTAGTACAGTAATAAATTGAAGGCAGAATGCAAGTTAGAGTGCACACTGAAAAACCAGCTAATTCCATCAAGATACTGTACTTTGTATTCTGCTCCCAAGAATTCATTAGGACATAAATGACATTCAGAGATCTGACTTTGCTTATAATCAGCTCCTACAGTAATAGCATGAATCAGATTAAATGGGTTTTCTTCACTGACTTGACAAAAAGCCAATTAACGAGCCTTTCTTTTCCTAGCCTCTAATTAAATGCTATGTTTAGATGTATTGATGCAAAATCTGGAGTAACCATAAATGTTCTTTGAAAAGGAATCATGCTCAAATGTTTTCATGTTTTTAATATGTTGGTTTACCAGAAGAGTTTATACATTGTGATCATGCAAATAACTTCTGTCTCAACGTATAGTGTGGCATACTGAAATTATTTCTCTTTTCCACATAAGTCAGGAGAACACTATATGCCATGTTTTTCACAGTAGCTTGGGGGGGGGGAAATTACATTCCCTGTCTGTAACTACAGTCTTCAGAAGAGTTATGTTCCTCAATGGCATTGCATATAAATATAAAAGATACTTGATTTTACAATTATGGCATATTTATACTCCCTCTGTCACATGTACACCAGGACAATTTTTTAAAAATCAGATTTTTACAAGAGAGTGCATTTAGGTTTTTTTAGAATGCTGAACATGCGTCTGAAAGAAGACATTGCATTTACAAAACGTTGGAGGTACTTCATAAACTGTTTTCCAAGCATGCTTCCAAAGAACAGAAATATTTTATTAAAAGCTGTAGCAAAACTGTTACTCGCAAATCTGCAGAAGAAATGGTTAGCCATCTGGGACACACTGAAATAAAATATGAATTACACACACAAACTGTAGGTGGGGTCTTGGTGTTAATCATCTATTTTGTCGAAATACTGTATGGTATGTGTTGTGCTCATTTCATGTAACTTTCTTCTTGAAGTCTCAGGATGTCATGATGTTCCCCCCCCCCAACTCATCTATTATTTATGTTGGCAGAGAAGCCATGTTTACATTGATGACATTGGGACTATCTGCAGCTGAGAATAAATCTGATTTTTTTTCCCTTTTGCTTAAGAGAGTGTGACCTTGTTTAGGGATAGTTAGCTGGAACTTTTTTTATCACTTAAGATCTGTCTCTTGGCCTGCAGCTTTGAATCTCTTGCATATGCAACTGCTGTAATTGATTTCTTCTCCTGCTAACCGTTTTCGTTTAATATGACCCATATCCTGTGTCATTTTTTCTAGTTCATCATCATGGGAGTAAAATGTTACGTTCGGAATCAAACTCTTCAATTACCACTCAGCCTACTATAGGTTGGCAAACCCCTCTCTTTGTCTCTCCTGTTCTTCCTTTCTTTCCCATTTCCTTCCTACTCTGCTTTAATATATATCAATATATATTTAACAAAATGCTTCACATATTCACATTTTTAGCTTAACCCTTGCTGCACTGGCTGGTGCTTGAGAGCTTGCCTCTAAATTTCCTTTGACACACTTGAAGAGAGTGTTTCAAAAGCAATTGCTGTTAATACCAAGAAAGCCAAACGCTAACCGTGTTTACGCATTTGATCCTTGCGGACAGTTCTTAACGTTTGCCTCTATACCTGCGCGTGTGTGTGTGTGTGTGTATGTGTGTGTCCATCATCCAGTCATTTCTTTCTAGTTTGGGAGTTTCTGGTTTGTCATTGCATGCTGCCAAACTGCCTTTCTTCATAGCTTAGAATTAATATGGTTTATGCTTTTCTCTTAGCGTTTACTCATCATAGCATATTTTTTCCAAATCATCTGAGCAGCGGTAGTGTTAGTCAAATGGGGTGTTCAGGTTGTGTCTGTGCATTGATAACCAAGTAGCATGTTGAGCCATTCCATTCTGCTGATTCATATTTATCCATTCCATTATGCTGAATCATGTTGATAGCGGTTCATCTTTGCTGGCATTAAAATGTTAGATAACGCATATTCTCCAAACGAACTGTTTTGTCTCAAAACAAATGCATTACTCACTAATGTGTTTGATTTGTTTGGCCTGTTTGTTGAGCCTAGGCAAGGCTAATGGCGTGGGAAAGGACACAGGGATGGGGCTTCATCAGGCTTCTCAAACGGTCTCTTTTGCTCGATACAGCAAAGGGGAGGACGAACATGGAGCTGCGTGAGAAGTTCATCTTGGCTGAGGGAGCGAGCCAAAGCATGGCTGCCTTCCGAGCCCGGGGGCGCAGATCACGACCGTCTTCAAGGGGTGCTTCGCCCAACAGGTCCACATCAGTATCAAATCCACCTGCTCAAGGAGGTCCAGCGCCAGCACCAGTTGCTGCCAGCACACCTAAGGTATGACTTAAGTGGTGCAACTCAGTTTTCATGCAAACGTTTTAAAAATCAGGCCAAACTTGCTACAGGCTGCAATAAGGCTACTCTAAAATTAATACAGGGGAATTTTAATTCATCTACTTATCAAAGACCGCTAACATTTTTTTTATTGTTCCCTCTCCCTTTGCAATTGCAGCGGTCATACAAGACTGGAAAAAAACATGTAAGCTAATTAGAACATGGAACACATTTTTTAAAGGACAAAAATTCCCCTCCCCCACTTTCAAACATGCACAAAACATCCTCTTTTGTATAAAATGCTTGTTGTCAACTATTCCTGCCTTGTTTTGATGCTGTGTTATTATTTTTTGTTTGTTTTTGGCTTTCATTGTGAGATTCAGTCTCCATAATCTGACTATTCCTCTCCATTATTTCCATCAACTGTTCTTCACGCTTGTGATTTGCCATTGTTTCATACAGACACCCCATCATTTAACACGCAACTATGGTAAACCATGGTTGATAAACAGCAAAACGTCATCTCCTTGTAAACCACCAGAGTGCCCTGAATATCAAGTGTCATCCTCAGAGGTACAGTAATGGATGGATATACTAGTCTAACAACATTTCCTGCACTAAAACTACCCTGTTAGCTAACAGTCACTACTGTCCATTATCCAGCTCTGCTGTACCTTCCATATTAACACACTCTTTTTGTTTTCAGCCTTCTATCCACCAATTTTGTTTTCTCTCTCCTTAAACCTATAAATTGATCAGCCATTTAAAATGTGTTTGCCTCCTCTTTCGAACTTGTTTAAGCATGCATAAACTATAAATAACCCTGATGAAGAAGGTAAACAGCTCTGTATTTGTGGAGTCTCAGGTACATAGAGCATAAATCATGTGGCTCTCCGGAGATAGATGAATGAAATTGTGCTGTCATGCTGATCTACCTCTAAATGAAAGAGTTCTCTCATTATTCCACTAACATTACATTAATCCAACATAATTTGATCTTCTTGTGTCTCACAGACTTCCATAAGCTTAGCTACAACTTAGGCCAGAGTCTGACACAGTTAAGAGTCTGACACTGAGATTAATAGTCTTAGGCACATTGAGCTCTGGTTAAATTATGGCACTGCTTTAATGTTTTGCTTGTCAACTAAAATGCAGGTCCAAGGCTTATGAGAGGAAGTAGCATTAAAATAAAAATTCAGAAGGCCTATAAATAAAATCCTTAAGAAATTTCACAAAACCCATTGTTACATTAGTCTTATATCCACTTGCTCATGGCAACACCAAACCAGCCAAGATAAAAACATCTTAGGTGGACCAGAGGTCAGCAGATCACTAGCTTGTCTCTGGTCCTCTCCTTCAACAGGATCACAGAAATCCTCCATCATATGGGATGTTTGTTGGCAGCCCAACAGTTGGGGTGGAAAACCTGAGGGTATACCATTAAAAATCTCAGCTAGTATAAATGTACTGCAATTTCACTGGAAACAGAGAGGAAAGTACCTCATGGGGGCATGTTAGATGAAACTGAGGCAAATCCAAAAAACCTTGCTCCGGGCAAATGCCAAATAGGGGAAACAATAATGTATACAAACCTTGATGTAGTGATTTTTCTTCCCTTTGGTGTCAAAGAAAAGTCGTAGTTCAGGAGTAGAGATGGACACGAACCTTGGTTCGGAGGTCTGGCCCAATTCATCACCACATTCACACAGGTGTTGTGTGGGTACGCTGCCTTTCCCCTCCCACTTCCCCTGCACACTCACCCATTCTTTGGATGATGCACACTTCCCTCCCTGCCTCCTCAACGCAACTACCCATTCACCTTTGCAGCGTGCTCTTCCCTCTTCCTCCTTCTCTGTCAGCCAGCCACTCAAAGGCAGCGCTGCAAGAATCCTTGCCCCACCTCCTCATCTGAGTGGGTGGCTGACAGGTGGTGCAAAAGGTGAGTGGGTAGTTGTGCGGCAGAGGTGGGGTGAGAAGTGCATGTTGCTCGAGGAATGGGCTAGTGTGCACGGGAGGGGGGATGATGCTGTGCCCACACAACACCTGTGCGAGCACGGCAATGAAATTGGGCAGACCTCCAAATGGCCCATCTCTAGTCAGAAGCATGGAGGAAGAAAAGCACTCACACTCTACCTTCTGCTGGTCCAGCATAAGCCAGAAGGACATAGGAAGTGGCTCTTCCCGTGTTAGAGTCCTCCCCCACCCCCTAGGATAGCTTTGCCACAGTGCTTTTACAACAAGTCCAAGCTCAGACTCAGACAGATCTGTGAACTTGGGGAAGCCTCCTAAAATATTTCCTTATGATGAAAACCTTATGCAGGGCAGTGTAAGGTGAGAGTAGAGAGCTTCTTTCAGCCCAAAGGCCAAATTCACTATCAGAGAAGTACTCCAGGAAGGGGGGCATTCTGTTTGTTGGCAGGGCAAAAATACAAGATTGAGATAAAAATTACCACAATATCTTGATGTCGTTTTTTTTTTTTTAATCAGTAGAAGTGAGAGACTTATGTGAGGCTTTCCCACCTTTTAGCATGGGAGAAAACTGATACAAAAGCTGGGAATTCAAATCTCCAAAAAAATGAGGTCATGAGGAAGGTATTGTGAGGTCATAAGCCACTGAAATCTTCTCTGTGTTCTGCAGGGATAACTTTGCAAGAGGATTTTGGCCCCTGGAATTTAAATTAGTCATGACACAGAATATAAGCTGAATGAACAGTAACTGAAGTGTCACTAATATCAGAAGTTTGTTCTAATGTGGATCCAACTAATATGTTAGTTTTGCCAAACATTTAACTAGATATGCTAACTAAAATTACACAGATAACACTGTATTTATCTTGATATTCTGATTAGCAAGTTAACTAGGTATGGGATGAACAGCAGAAGTGCTATGTGGTTACAGAATTTTACCCAGAGACTGCTTGTCAATGACTCCTCAAAATGAGAGGCGGTAACAAGTGGGGTACCACAAGGCTTAGTCCTGGGCCCGGTGCTCTTCAACATTTTTATTAATGGCTTGGATGAGGGACTAGATTTGCAGATGACACAAAGGTGGGTAAAATAGCTAATACGTTGGAAGGCAGGAACAAAATTCAAAAAGATCTTGATAGGCTTGAGTACTGAGCTAAACACAACAGAATGAACTTTAAGAGGGATAAGTGCAAAATTCTACCCTTAGGGATAAAAACCAAATGCACAGTTACAAGATGGGGAATACTTGGCCCTGTACTACTACAAGTGAGAAGGACTTTGTAATTGTTATAGATCGCAAACTGAATATGAACCGACAGTGTGATGCAGCTGCAAAAAAGGCAGATGCTACTTTACGCTGCATTAACAGAAGTATGGTCTTACAATCCTATGAAATACTAATCCCCCACACACTCCCAATTCAGCACTTTTAGACCTCATCTTGAGTGTATTGTGTCCAGTTCTGGACACCACACTGTAAGAAGCATTCCAAGAAACTGGAACAAATTCAGAGGAGGACAACGAGGATGATCAGTGAACTGGAAACCAGACCATATGAGGAAAGACTGAAAGAACTGGGCATGTTTAGCCTTGAGAAAAGAAGACTATGGGGAGATATGATTGCACTTTTCAAATACTTGAAAGATAGTCATACAGAGGAGGGCCACAATCTGTTCTTGATCATCCCAGAGTGCAGGTCACATAATAATGAGCACAAACTACAGGAAGCCAGATTTTGGCAAAATATCAGGAAAAACTTCCTTTTAGAGCAGTATAAGATTGGAACCAATTACTTCGGGAGATGGTGAGCACTCAAATGCTGGAGACTTTCAAGAGAAAATTAGATAACCATCTCTCAGATCTACTTTGATTTGGATTTCTGCACTGAGCGAGGGTTGGACTCGATGGCCTTATAGGCCTCTTCCAATTCAATTATTCTGTGATTCTATTTGTAATCAGTGAAGCCGACTCAGTGCTTTTGAATGGCTTTCTGATGTCTGTTTTCGCTCATTTTTAAGTGTCTTAAAATGTTTGAAACCTGTTTTAAATGCTTGGATTCGGTAGTGCACCTTGTGAAACCTATGCAAACTTAATTTGGCTTTGTTCTGAGTCTTCGTTAATTTTTGGTGAGTTTTTGTTTTCCCCATTTAAATCCATAGAACGGACAGTTCAATGGATTTAAATGGGGAAAACAAAAAATCACCAAAAATTAACGAAGACTCAGAACAAAGCCAAATTAAGTTTGCATAGGTTTCACAAGGTGCACTACCGAATCCAAGCATTTAAAACAGGTTTCAAACATTTTAAGACACTTAAAAATGAGCGAAAACAGACATCAGAAAGCCATTCAAAAGCACTGAGTCGGCTTCAATGCATTTCAATGGCTTTCCGTTGGGGGAAACATTGTTTCACTTAGCAATGTTTCCTATGGGGATTTTCGCTTAAGGACGGTAATCCGTTCCAATGGGTTTTCAATGCATTCCTATGGGAAATGGTGTTTCGCTTAACGATGTTTTCCCATAGCGATGTTTTTTGGAACCAATTAACATCGTTAAGCGAGGCACCACTGTATATATATATAAACAGATCCAGTGATACATATCATGTAGTATATTAGTTCCATTTCCAACTTATTATTAAATAGCCTTATGGGATCACTTTGGGGCTAGCTTTTTCTTTGGCATGCATGCCCCACAGGTGATGTGGATGGAGTCTTGTATTCAGCTCTGTTCTATACTGATGGCTACATACTTGCTTCATTCAGTTATTCTTGTGTCCTGCAGGGGACCCCAATACAAGGAAGTAAACTTAGAATGCCAGGATATTTATCAGGGAAGGGTTTCCACTCTGGAGAAGACAGTGGCCTAATTTCAACAGCAGCGACAAGAGTCAGGGCACATTTTGCAGGTAAGTGGTAGCAAAAATGGAATAAAGACTCTTTGGGATGCCGCTGACTTGTACAATACGAAACTATGTTGCACAAATGGATAGATGTTAAAAAGAGTGGTCCCAGATCAAGCACTCCTTCCTATGTATGGCTACATCCCAGGGTATATTCCCTTTGGATGATTTTAGAGTGCATAATTCAGCAATTACGTTTTCCATACCCAATCAATTTAGGTCCTTTGAATTGTAGACTTTGGTACATGGCCCACTACACAATCCAACATGTTGCTTGTCTGTAATGCAGTGCAATCTAAATTATCTGTCATTATTATCCTTCAGGAACCTCAACTGTAGAGACCCTGCCTTTACAGCAAGGCATTGGTCCTGATTATGCTCTTAATTCCTTGCAGAGCCCAACTGAATGCAAGATGCAATGTTTGAACTACAAAATGACATAGCCCAGACCTGGGCAAAGTGTGGCCCGAGGGCCACATACGGCCCGTGAGCCACTACTGTCCGGCCCACAGACAGTTTTGAACATCAAAACCATTTATAGCTTTTTGTCTAAAGTTGATCAGTTGCTTATCTTTAATATGCCACCAAAAACCTCTTTAGTATTTCTGAAGGTTAACAAGTTTAAAATAAAAACAATCATAACATCAGTGTTTTGTTTTATTTTTAATTAAAGTTGGTTCAGCCCTTGAACACAGTTCAGATTTTTCATGTGGCCTCCCCTATAGAAATTAATTGCCCACCCCTGACATAGCCTGAAGTGTAGATTTCTTGATGCTGGGGGTGGGAGTGACTACCATGGGGAATTCCGGTTGCAGTCCAAAGAAGGGGAAGCCAAATGCTCTGACCCCAGTGGCCTTGTATTTATGAATAGACTCTGATGAACCTCGGTAGGGCTAGCCCATCTTCTTCTATAAATTGCCAAGTGTTTCAGGCGGCCAGGAGGCAGTGCCCAGAAAATCATCTGCCACTGTGATGAATGGTGCAACCATACTGAAGCAGACTTCAGCGTGCACCCTGGAGCACTATGAAATGAATCACCATCCAAATATGTGGGGAGAGTCCTAAACAGCCTCCTTCGTTCTCCCATCTCTAATACCGATGAATGTATTTCCTCTCCTCTTGCAGAAACTAGAAGAACACCAAGCAGGCCGGGAAGTCGGACAGGAAGCAAGGCAGGCAGTAGAGCGAGCAGCCGCCGGGGCAGTGATGCATCAGACTTTGACATTTCAGAAATCCAGTCTGTGTGCTCAGACACGTCAGAGACTGTCCATACCCCAATCAGACCAACTCCACGGCCAAATTCTAGGTCAGCATCCGGCAAGCCTTCCAAAATCCCAACTCCCCAAAGAAGATCACCTGCCAGCAAGTTAGAGAAATCCTCCAAGAGATAATGCCATGGGCTTGTCACAGTCTTCTTTTCCTGTGCATTAAATATTTAAGTTTGTAAGATGTAAAATATTCTGTAGAAATTATTGTGAAATATTACAAGAGTTGGATTTTTAATTTCGCAGATGGCCTTATTTGTGTATTTGTCTTGTTTATTTTATGTGTATAATTTTTCTCAATTTTTTGTTTGTTTATGCCATATCCTATGTGAACAGGAGAAAGGTTTTGTTAATGTAAACTAACAGGTGGTTGCAGTAACATGTAGAGAGATCACTAAAAGCAATTGCTGAATGTACAGTTAAGTCTTTGCGTCCTAAGTCTACGGGGCTTGTTGCGTCACCATTAACAGGGAAGGATACCTCATTACTTGTCTTAAGACAAATAAAAAAAGAAAAGAAAAATTATCCACTTTGAGCTAACAGAGTGGACACGAAAAGGCATGTGGCAGGGATGCTAAGGAACAGGAGACACAGTACACACTGCAAACAATCGACAGCATTGTCCAGAGAATTCACAAATAATGTTATTTAAAGAACACTTGCCCGTACTACAGTACTCTAATATGTTGCATCATTTTCTGCGCCATTGCGTTAAAGAGGGCAGAATCAATCTGGATACTAGAATTATTACACTTGCAGCAGAATGACAGTATAATCTGCATTCATATCAATGTGAGGTTTTCTTTTGCTTGAGTGGATGATAGCACTGTATCACTGGACTCATTTTATATCAGAGTAGTCTTGCTTGCAAAAAGAACAAAAAGAATTCTATGAAATAAATCTTGACCCTTCTCTTTGTTGCTTTTGTATTCCTTATATCCCAGGGAGATTCATGTTCAGTGTCATGTTTACAATACTGTGAAATCTGAAAGCTCCAACCGTTACTTTCAGGACAAACTTTATTGTATTTTTCCCGTTCTCTGCCACATTTCAAGCAATTACTGTATTCTTTTAATAAAACAATGTTTACATATCAGTGGACACCATGTGCCATACCTGCCTTTCTGCAAAAACTTCATACTATTGTGTCAGGAATAAAAGAAGAGTAAGTAGATTTATGAGGAGAAAGAGTAAAAGGAAGCTGGGTGACCTGGGTATACCATGCAAAGGAAAAGGCGTGTATTAAGGGTGGTGCAAATAAATCGGAAGTCTATCCATGTTATAACACCAGGCCAATTATCATGGCTTCCCTCTATTAAATCCTTGTAAATGATATCTGAGTACAGATCTCAAAAAGATTTCTACAATCATTTAGGATGTCCTGGATAAAGCCATGACAGGTCCATGTCAAGCACACATCCCGTGGCATGGGAACTGCATCCAAGAATCATATTCCATAATGTAGTGGGAGCTTGTGGTCCAAACGGGGATGTCACAACCCAATATTTTGGTGTGTATTCTTTCCCCTGCATTAGCACAAGCATCCTTGGGATTAAACATGAATTTATCAACCATATGGATTGGCCAGTTGCCATAAGGGATATAAGAACAAATACCAAAACAAATCACACATGTTGCAGAACTATAAAAAAGTCAGTTTTTGTTCTAGCAGAAAAAAATTGGCATGTTCTTTCCCACCATACTGATATTGATTGCCTCAGTATCTTCCTGCTTTTATTACTGCAAGTTTAAATTATTTCATAATAATTGAAGGGATTGTCTCAAATTGGCTTTCTCAGCCACACTAGATGCTATTCCAAGACCTCTGTTCACAACACACCTACAAATTATTTCATAATATATACAAACACCCTTTTACTTTCATGGCACGATATGGCAGAGCCTTGTGAGCTGTCACTGCTAGTAGATTATATGGTAATTTTTATTGAAGTGTGTTTTGCATCCTGTAGGTACAGTCCAATTGCACCCTTCTATTTGCAGAAAGAGTGCTAGTCCAGGGAATTCCTCTACTAATGGAAAAGAAGGGAAGGTGATTTTACCCCTTTCCATTGCAGCCTCCCTCCCAAATCTGATTTAGAAAGTTAGAAGAATCTCCACCACACTGGCAAGCTGGAACAAGGAGAAAAGTGAATATTTTGCGTTATCACCTTTTTCCTTTTGTTAGTGGTCACTTTAATTGAGCCCCCCCAGAAACAATTGAGTTTTGCTATTTTATTTTGCTACATCAGAACCTGGCTGGCCAAGATAACACAGTAGACCTGGAACCACAATTTCCTATTCTTATGAGCAAAACCCAAATTTTTGATTCACAACTTCCCAGCAGTATTGCCACAGAGAATGGACAATGTCTGAGAAGTATTACACCTGTCTGCATTTTTCTAATGTTCTTATTTACAGCTGAAACTTTCTACTTTACGTAATAATTTTCTAACATAAGGATCTTTTTTCCCACTTTAAGCAGTGTCACTGCATGTATGCAAGCCATCAAGTCAGCAAAACTGGGGCATGAAAAAAACTTGTGACTCACATCACACAAGACAGAGAAGAAAAGTGTTTTCATATCCAGAGGTGGTCCATGTGCCAAGGAGACTGTAGCATGTGATAGCACCAGAAGTAGGTAATTAAAAAAGACCAAGTGGATGTATCTCCCTTCCAGCCTTCTGAGTTCACTGAGATGGCTGGATCTGAAGTGAAATTTGTGCTCTGAAATAATTCTTCTGTCTGGCAGGCTATCATTCTGTCCCCTTTAGAAAGAAAAGAAGACAACCACGATTAATACTCTTTTTCTAATACAGTTGGCATGATTCTAATCTGGCGGTCAAAAGAGCACCAGGCAAGCAGTTCTTCAAGTGGTGCTTTAATTTATTCAAGAACATCAGGTTGCTGTGTAAAGAAGTAAGCTAGCATTACCTTTGAGCATCACAATGCTGGAAATTATTTCTGTCTCCCAAGAGTGCTTAACACACTCCTAACAGGTAAATGTAAAGCACCTGCACCAACACGACCCATAACTATTTCAAAATGAGGTCTGGCAAATGAGCAGAACATTGCAGATCTCTGAATGTCATACTGTAGCTTCCTAGGCCATCTTGTCTTGATTGACCTCAGAAATGCTTTGATAATTCTTCGTGCTTCCAGCAAACATGACTGTAACAAATCTGCCTGTTTTTCTGGTGGAATGGAGCCAGATTTGATATCCATTTGCAATACCTTATGATTATATCTGGCTATTTTCCCAAAATCCAGTTGCGGAATACATGTTTGAAAATGACTGGCAAGCAGGGCATCACAAAATGTCAACATTTCTTCTAATTCTTAAAAGAGTTCAGAATTCTTGCTCCAGCCTTGCCTACTTCTGGCTGAGGTACAAAGAGATGTGTAAAGGAATTCTAAGCAGTCTCTGTTTACCATCACCAGTAAAGCAAAAGTGGCATGTGAAATAACAAAAGTAAATATATGCTAAGAGACCTGTGAACCAAAGAGAAGCCATTTTTCAACTCCTGTTATTACATGGGGGTAATTTGCCTGTTGCTAGATTTTCTCACATCAAGATTTTTTTTTTGTAGGTGATGAATGATAGCATTAGTGGAAATATTCTTCAAGAAGTGGACAACTTTTTATTAGAATTTTTGGAACATAAATTTAAAGAAGCATGCAAACAAAAACTAAAGTGGGTGAGTTGGTATGGTGGAGGAGAATATGTGGGAAATGTTTATTTTCATAAAAAGCATGGTTAAACACACAAGATGGTCAACTGCAGTGAACGGTTTCAAGGAAAGGTATTCTCATATTTATCAGCTTTGCAGTTTGAGATTGCCAGGACTAAATTAAAACAGTAACAGAATTTATGCCTAAGTGCCTATAACTGGACAGTTCCATCAGAAGAATAATTTTCTTTCACTTCAGGGACTGTACAAATTTTCAGGGAATTCACTATGGCATCCAATGAATCTAAAACATTATCTTTTATCATTCTTGTACCACCCTCATCCTTCTTTGGCCATTTAATGTAATGTTTGAAGCATCATTCCTCACGTGGCAACTGGAATGTTTTAAAGAAGAAGAGTGGTTTGGATCTCATCCACATGAAAAGCCCCATAATGATCAGTTCATGCAAGAAGTGTTCTAGAACAAGAAGGGAAAGTTCATTCATTCATTCATTCATTCATTCATTCATTCATTCATTCATTCATTCATTCATTCATTCATTCATTCATGTATTGAAATATGAAGGAGGATTGAATCAATGTTCCCTGACACAACATTCAAAAAATTAAAAGCATTAAACAGAGATATACAGTACTTATAAAATAAAATGCATGTTAAATTATGTATTAAAAGAAATAAATTAAATGATTTTGAACCAAAATTGTGCTACATCAATCCCACTATACCCTCTCTCAACAAGATCTTATAATATATTGCATGGTTCAGTTTTCTCACCATCTCTGTTTTTACTCCTGCAGATTAACATCCTCATTTCTCTAAACTGTCCTTAGACAGCTTCTGCCTTTCATATGAAGGCAACAAGCCAGTGAAAGTAGCTGGCATTCTGAATGGAACTTGCTATAAGCCATATCCTTGGTTTCAGTTGTGGTTTTCTTTGAAGATCAGCTGTGGACATAGACATCTTTGATGTACCCCCAGCAGCAGACAGCTTCACCAGCACTATATCTTTCAATTCCAGATGCTAAGGATTTGGGGGCAAGGCTTTCCTGATCTGCTTATGAGCTTTACAGAGACATGTGTCTGGACCACTATTATTTTTTTAAAAAAAGGGAAATCAGCTTAAATGACCCTCCAGACTGATCCCTCGGAGCTTTTCTTATGTTTGTAAGATGTCTAAAGCTCAAAGTGACATGATACAACAGTACTACTTGGTCCATAATTTCGAACATGAGGGAACTGACCATGACCATATAAAGCAGCCAGTTCCTGACATACTAGATAATGGAAGGCAGCCATCGCCAGGGTTTAATTAAAACTGGGTCTGTTTGAAACCTGTATGCCGAAAATAAATCATTCAATCGCAGCTTTCTTTTCATGCAACTGAGTGTGTGCCAGTGCTTGACCAAGTGTGTGAAGGGCAGCCCAGTGGAAGGAGCTTGTGGAGTTACCCTTGCGATCTGTGTTTCCCTGACAGGAGTCTGGCCTGTGTGTTGACATTTAAACCATCTCCCCACATATGACAACACTATTATTTAAATAGGATTTTGCCTCTCGCCTCAAGTTCATAGCAGTAAGCATGCTTTAAATTGTGCCTTAATTCAGCCACCTTTCATCATCTTTGGAGAACTAAACCCAAAATAATGTTAGGGGAGCCGCTAGTGCAGTTGCATGAGATGATGCAAGAGGCTGTACCAAATGAACAAACTGCTAATGCGGTGAAGCTTGCTCTACTAGTACAGTTGGCGTCACTGGATCCAGGCCAGAAACAGCCTGCTCCAGCCTTCTTTCATTAACATTCATCTATTGTGGTTGTGGTTGTTCTCCTGTGAGAAAACAGTTAACACGGATTGTGGTTTGTTAAGCAGACTGTCTTCCATGCCTTGCATCAGCTACATTTACTCTGAAACTCCAGCTGCCAAGTTATGCCAACATCATAAGTTTATTTCTCAGCGTGTGTCTCATTTCAACATCTAAACATTCGTAACCCCACATTTTCCCAGCATAGCTATAAATAGCTGGTGCATGAATTGTTTAATGTTTGACATTCAGCAGTTTGATGACAAGGAAAATAATCCTAATCGGGGTAGTGAACTTTTCCTCTGGAGTACCAAAGAAATGCTGTTAGTCCACAACACAACTCTTTTTAAATCTGGCTTTCAGAGTTTGCTTCTTCGTCTTCCTCCTCCTCCTCCTCCTCTTTCAAAATGCATGGAGTGTGGGAATAAATCCAGTTGAAGGAAGTAGTTCTTCTTCTTCTTCTTCTTCTACTTCTTCCTCTTCCTCCTCCTCTTTCAAAATGCATGGTGTGTGGGAATAAATCCAATTGAAGGAAGTATATGAGGTGCTGAAATCTCATGGGGGGCATGAACAAAAGCTGGTGGCTTTGGGAGGCAAGAGGGAAAACCTCTTGG